ACATTTTGGCTGTTTTCAGTTACTGATACCATGAGGTCAGAAATTAAATGTTCTATCTGCTCTATCAAAATCGTAAGATTCTTCGGTGTCGTTGTCAATATATTATTATTCAAAGAATCGCATTTGAAAAAGTTAAACAGGTTGTGAAACTCAAAACCACTGACGTCAGATTTCTCAAAACTAGTAAATGAGCAGATAGAACTTTGTAATTCTGAGGTAGCGAGCTACCAAAGACCTTTATAATATTTTGACAATAAAGTGAACATTTCGATTGGAAAGACAAATGAGAGTAAGTGTTTTGAAGAACATCCAGCTGTAGATTCTTGGATACTTTGAAAGCAGGTATTGCTTGGTGAGGATTTTAAAATAACGTATTTTATGCGCCTTTATTGTTTTCGCTCAAAACTGTATTAGCTTGCCTCGGACCTTTTTAGAAGGTCCGATATATTTACCAATAATGTGCAACCTGGCGTGTACTCAGTAGAGAGTTTGTTGTTTGTACACCAATGTTTGTCTCTTACATTTTATAAATCTAAACTTTTTGTTTAAATATTTATTCGAAGTTTAGAACTTTAACTTCCTATGTTTCTTTGTTTATTTGTTGTTGTTGTTGTTTTGTTGGCTTTTTTGAGGAGGGGGTGGGGGGAGTTGGTACGTGTTTTACGCGCTCGCAACTGCATAATATTAATTATGGTCATATAAGCGCGGGACACATTAACATTTTCAGTTGGTAGGAAATTTTGAATTTTGCCCAAGTGGCTGCCGAAGCCTACTCTTATCGATTTTGGACCACCAATGAATCTTTAACGTTCGCAACTTGCACACGGGACCTCCGTGATTTTTCATCCTTGTCCAAGAAGGCAAGGTGCAGATCTTTGCTATCATAAGATGAGGGGTGTGGCTGAAAGACAGCAGTAAGAAGGAGCCAAGGAGAAGCAGTAGAAAGGCTGTAGAGAGAGTCAAAGGAGGGGACAAAGGAGCTGAGGTGGTGGGGGCAGAAAGAGGAGACGAAAACAGACGACAGAACATTGCTAGAGAGTAGGATAGGATGTGAAAGGAGACAATTTAAGAGAAGACGATTTTTCGGTCGCTATTCTGATTCGAACCCGGAACCTATTGAATGAGAGGTGAACACCTTAACCTCTTGGCCATGAGAGCCCCTTCCCTATGTCTTGAGATACCAGATTATCTTGTGTGCTTACATATGTACATGAATAGCAACATTTCCTGTGTTTTGAGATGTACATGTAAGCACACTAGGTAATCTAGTATGAACAATAAACGTCTTATTACCCCCCCCCTCGCCTCCTAGCCTCATTTCTCACTTTTCAAAAAAAATTCAAAACAGTGCTCTGATTTATAATTCCTTTCTTGTGATCTCGCAGTTTTCTGAAAGTGCTCTATTTTCTTGAAAACAAACGAAGAAACAAATAGACCGATAAACAAGCAATCAAGAACACAAAAAAGGTTGTTATCTTTCTTTGTCATTAAACTGTGGTAAAAAAGCCAGAATCTACATGTAGCTGTCTGTACATGTCCACCTCTTCTTGAGGGTTTTCTAAACTTTTGGCTGGAAAGTCAAAATAGCATTACATCTACATGTATTACTGATTAGTGTCATATTGCGTACTATACTATTATTGTACATTTTTGTGTATGATTGCATATTATAAAAACATTTTATACCCATAATATACGCATATTATATAAACACCAAACCATATGTGTCTTTTGTGTGGTTCATATTTTGCTTAGTGGAAGTAGCAAAAGAAAAAGACTGTTTTCTCTGATGTTCCTTTGACTTCAACCTGTATAACTTTGTACACTTCAGCAGTGGATGTTTGGAGGGCGTGGTAGGTCCTACTTTTTTACCTTGTATCTGTCTACCTTCTTTTTCCCCAGAACTTAATGATTACTATTGTGTTGATTTGCTTCTCTCTCTTTACTCAAACCAACAAATCAAAGACTTCAGCTGGGGGATGGGCGATATTTGCGGCAGTTCAAATTTCCGTACATTCAGGATCGCAAGTCCTTAACTCCTCATTATTGTGTCTGCCTGTCATGTTTTGTATCATGTTCCCTCTGGGTACATCATGTGCCCTTGAAAGCCCTTTTCAACACTGAGTGATATGCCAGCCCGGTACATTTGACGTGGTTCGGTACCACCTCTGTCATTGAAGCCCACAGCAATATTGAACAGCTAAAGGTGTAAGCAAGCTCGTTGATTATCTCACTTTGAGGACAGCGCTAGTCCAACTGGAGTTACTGGCCTTCTACCGAAATAAACGGTTGCATGGTTTTAAGTGTGGAGCCAATCATGAAACGACAGACAGCAACGGAAAACAAGGCATAGTCACAGATCATTTCGCTACCTCAGAATTACAGAGTTGTGACTATTTTTAAGGGGGGGGGGCGCATTTTGAGACGATAAGCTCAGAAACCAAATGCTGTAGACCGTCTCTATCAAAATCGTAAGATTATTCGGAGCTGTTATCAAGATTTCGAAGAAGTACATGTTTCAAAAGTTTGACATGTTATGAAACTCAACATTTTTTATGTCAACTTTCTCAATGCTTGGTACTGAGCAGATGGAACTTTGTATTTTACTAAGGTAGGAAATTTCTATCAAAAGCTGACGTCGCTTTGGAACCGACTGCTGGACCAAGTTCTTTGAAGGAACGCGATATAGAGGACAACCTGATGCGAGTTGCCGATTCAAAAGTACTTGCTGTGGGTGGTTGGCGGGTGCTCTGGTGTGGTTTACTCCTTTTTATCAATAAAACATCTATCGTCCTTATCTCTCCTCCTCCTTTTTTGAGTAGGTATGTTACTCTCTTGTGAAACATCTATTCTTCGGCACTTATATGACCTTATTGTGTTGCAAGTGCAGTAAAAACTCTTGTTAAAACTATAGAAGTACCTACAGGTTTTAATTATCAGTTCAAAGTACGCTGCCGGAATCGCCCAGATCAATGCATCTCAACTTAAGCAGCAAAGTCCACAAGAGGACGATTTGGTATTTGCTTTTGCAGGTGGAGGTATTGATCATCCTAGTTGAGACAGATACTTCTATTTGCTCTGATGGGAAGTACATGCTGGAGGGCGAAACGAAAATTTTAACCACTTAAAGTAGGTGGTATGAGAAATGGACGTTGGCTTGAAAAAAAAAAAAAAAAAGGTTGACAAGCCCTTGTCCTGATCAAGAAAAGGCTTGAAACTGCTTTAAAAGTTGGTTTCTGAGTAGCAATGAAACTAAATTTAGGGGGACGCCAAACTTTAATTAATCGCTCAGTGACAATGACCGTGAGTAAGGACGAGTTATAGAGAGCCGACCCCAATCTAAAAAAGGGGAGGGGGGGGGGGTGGCTCTAAATCTTTATATGTACATTTAAAAAGACATGTCTGTTTTTTACTGACAATCGTTAATTGAAAACTACAAAAAAGTGTAAATTTGCAAGTTCCATGGACACTTACGGTGTGGAAATCGTCAAATTCTGAAGACCATAATTTTCTCGCTAATTTTATCTCTGACATCAGGTGACACCATACCTCCCTCATAAAAAAAAAATCTTGACTTCTATTCAAGATAAATGGATGGATTTTTTTTCTTCAAAAGCAAGGCAAATGAACAAGATTTAAGATTATATCAATAATCCCACAGGCTTAATTTTAAACAACCGCTTTATTTTACCGCATCGTGACACAAATAGAACACGTTTTTCATTTATATTTTTTAGGTCCCCGCAGAAGACAACAAATATTCGCTATTGCAAAGGCAAATGGAAGATTGTTTGAGCTTTTATTCAGAACACTAAATGAAACAGGATAATTAGATTCAGCACATTCCCAATCATGCCAAGAACAGATCAAGAGAGGTTAGGATTCCCCACGCCACTATAGAAAGGTCACTGTGTGGTAGGCCTATCTATGGTGTCGCCGTTTTCTCGCTGATTTTATCTCTGCTGATATCAGGCGACTCCCATACCTCCTTTAAGCGGTCCCTCCTGTATTTTGAAATTCACCAAAGGCTTGAGCAGAACATTATAATACGTTTATTGTTTCCCTTTTTCATATGGGGAGTTCGGGGTGGGGGTAGAGTAGGGGGTTATAATGGTGTGGGGGAAAAGGGGGGGGGGGTATCTCTAGTTTTACCAATTTAAGAGTTTGAGCAAAAAATTAAGGCTCTTATTCACCTTTTTCTTGAAAAACAAAACAAAATGTTTTTATTGGTGCAGGTGTTTGCGAATGGATAGTGGAGGGTGTTTTTTTTAGAGAGTGGGCACCCTATGGCCTGTGTCCCTAGTTTTCATTTATTTATAGGCCTACTCATAACCCTTGTCCCAATTTAACCCTCTTGTGTTTGCTTATTTGAATGTAATTCAAGCTGGCATAATATTATACACTTCTACAGTAATTTTACCCGTCTTAACGTTTTACTGGCTCCTTGAAAAGACCTCCAAAGCATTAATTACTTTTTCAAAACCTTTCCTTTTCTTTTGGTAGGGTCCATTTATCATTTGTATGTCCCGCAGAAGACATCGGGTCGGGCAGTAGGGGTTAAAGCGACCTCACAAAATACATGTAGGCCAATCGATAGGCTATTTGTTTACTTTACAGACATAAAATAATACGTTTATTTCGTTGAAAAATTGCATCAATCTCTGCCAATAAAAAAGATATGGCTTTGAGGCAACAATAGTTGATAAGATATTATCTAAATCATTTTGCGTGAAAATTCTGTCTTCAAACTGAGCCTCGCTGAAAACGGAAAATTCACTGCGGGCGTGATCTGGAAAAAGCACAAAGGTAGATTCTAAGCTTACATTGACATTCAATATTCAAAACATTTGTTGGCGGCGTTCTAACAAAACGAATACATTAATCAAGATGTAAGAACACACGCAGGTGAATTAATTTTCAGGTTTATATACATGAACAAAATTTTGTTTCGTTGCAGCTCTCTCAACAATTAAATTGTTATTTTACACAAAACACAGGAAGTCACGTTCGAAGAAGGAAGTTTTTGCGTTGGTGGCTTTGTTTACAAACATTGCCATGATTCTTCTGCGATAACCGTGGTCATTTTCTCGTTTTTATTCTCGATCCAAGTGAGTTTATGGCCAGCCCAAAAGAGACTTGACTCGGGTGCTTGTTTTGTGTCATGCTGATCTGTGGAGCTTCGTATAGATCGAATTATACTAGATTCTAGATAGATCTATGACTCATGAATGCCAGCTCGGTACTCTTACTTTACTCTTAAACTTAATGAGTTGGGCGTTGCCGTTGCTACACTTAGACTTAGATCTAGATCTAGATCTAGATCAATGTCAGTAACTCAGTACAATAGAAGGCCTAGATCTAGATCTAGTAGTAGAGTACACTACAGAAATAGTAAGTAGTTTAGTCTTGTACATCAGAATCAGTGTTTGACTCAGTGATCCCATGTCGTTTGTTATCTCCATCTTTGAAAGTGGCTATTCTCACCCGCCGGAAGTTCTCGCAAGATCAACTCCTCCCCTCTTCTCTCTCTCTCTGTCTCTTTCTGAATACTGTCTATCGGTGTGGACGATCAAATTGACCAAAACAAAGTAAAAAAATGATGTTAAAACACAAAAGAAAATTAATTTGGTTGTCTACAAAGATGCTACGGCTATTTAACTTTTCGAATCGAGCCGAACTACGCGGGTCGCCATTTTGTTTTGCCCGGAAATTCTCGCGCTACTCCTCTCTCTCTTTTTCTCTCTCTCTCCACTGCCCACAGACAAAATTGTACACTTTTAGAAGGCTACAGTTGTAATGGAACGTTTGTTCACGGCACAGAATTCTACAATTTTTCTGTTATCACAGTGTAGAATTCTGTGGTTTAGGGTGAACGCAAAATTTGGTGAATGCGCAGCGGGTGAGAATAGCCACAAGACTCGCCTGCACTATTCTCACTCCGGGTGAGAATAGAGGTGGCCTCCATCTTTCTCTGTCTTGAAACTGAAAGGAGCTCCTTGACATGAGGAGAAATGACTGGCGCTTTTTCGGTAGTTCCCACCCCGCAATTGTTATTCACAGGTTTAGGCCCCAAAAGTAGGGGGCTTCAGGGGGGCTTGCCCCCCCTAACCTAATATAAATAAGGTGGGGGGGTCTCAGGGGGGCATGCCCCCCTGAATTATACCACAATTTAATGTTTTGCAGTTGTTAGGTTTGATATCTTAGCTCACCGCGAATCAAACAGATCTAGAGATGTAGATCTAGGTCAGGCTTAAATAAGGGGGGTGGGAACTACTGAAAAAGCACCAAATGACCCACCACCTCTAGTCTAGATCTGGTTCCACCCCCCACTTCCAACCTGCTCTCTCTCCTCCTTCCCTAGTCTCTCTCTCTCTCTCTCTCTCTCTCTCTCTCTCTCTCTCTCTCTTTCTCTCTCTCTCTCCCCCCCTCCTCTCTCTCTCTCTCTCTCTCTCTCTCTCTCTCTTTCTCTCTCTCTCTATCTCTCTCTCTCTCTCTGGATCTCTCTCTCTCTCTCTGGAATGGTGGAAAAAATTCATAAGAATTTGGGATGATTAAAATATGGAAGAGGCTAGAGTACGGCTTGACTGCTTGGCTAGCTGTACTTTTAATTATGATGGCTAGATCTAGACTGACAAAAAAAGACCTACTGAATTGTAAATAAATTTTTAGTTTGCCGTACCTAAAGTGGAACCAGGTACCTTACTGACAGTGCATATATATATTTTAAACTTGAATAATTACTTGTTTTCTAATAATGTTAATAGGCCCTTAAGATAAGTACAGCTAGACTGTCAAGCTAGCCGTACTTAACAATGATGGCTGAATTGTAAATGAAATTTTTAGTTTGCAATGCCTAAAGTATTTGTATTTCAGACAAAACCAAAAGGTGCCTTACTGACTTGCATGTATTTTAAAACTGAATAATTACTAGATCTAGATCTAATGAGACCTGTGTGCTCAACAGGTTTGAGTCAATAGGGCCAAACCTTGGTCTAAGTACGGCTAGACTGGTAGTCAAGACTCTGAGGCTAAAAGCCACTTTGTTAAAATATAATTAATATTGCATTTCTGTGCCATCTTCTAATTCCTTTTTAGAAACTATTTAATCTGAGGACTTCAATGTATGCAACTCTTAGAAGTACTCTAATCCATCGATACAACCAATTTCACCATAGCCAGCATTCCACTCAGGGCATCAGGGTCTCTCAGCAGTCATGCCATAGGAGGTCATGGAAATCAGGGAAATGTGTGGTTTTGCTCTGGTTACAGTGTAGGCGTGCTAATCGACAATGAAAATAATATAGTGTCCTGTTTTTTTTATATATATTAGCGCAAAATTTTCTCCATAAATGTTTGTTACAAATTATAACCCCTCTCATAAGTTGATGTGTGTGGTAACACCCCATTTGAATAGCCCTTCTTAGCCTTCAAAGATGCTGTTGTTGTTAGCACAACAGTAACTTGACAAGGAAAAAATAATTTCTGAATGTTTTGCTCTCCATTCTTTCCTTTTAGAAATTATTTCATATTATGATCATTTTTGTTTCAGGGAACGATTTGTTACTACTAAAATGAATACTCTGTGTTTGATGGTCATCACAATTGCTCTCTTTGCCACAGGTAAGAATGCAGGCTAATATTGGCCCATAGTCTTGAAAATGTTTTTATAAAAATGCATTTATTAAATATACACATGCATTCATATATTCTTGGGGTCAAAATATTTACTGCCCACCACCTGGATCCCTACTGTTTTGTTGCAAACCAAGTACTTCAGAGACACACACACATAAGAGGCAACATGTGCAGCAGTGCTCAAAATGACGACAAACTTACAGTGTCCAGTTAGGCTTTGTATGTTAATCTGTAAATATATATCATGTCTTTCTTTGACTCCCTATTTTTAATCTAGAGATACAGTATTCGCCTCTCGTTCAAAAAGTCCCAGGATTGAATCCTGACAGCAGCAAAAAAATATTTTCTGCTCTGAAATGTTCTCCTTTCACCTCTTTTTCTATTTTCTAGTCCTGTTCTGTCATGTATGTGCTTTCATCTCCACTTTCTCCCTACCTCTGGGTTCCTCTGTCCTTTTCCTTACAACTCTTTCTTTTACTGCTTTTCCTGGCTCATTCTCACTGCTACTGCCTCTCAGCCACACCCTTGATCTTAGGGTAAGTGAGATGGAACACCTTTAACCTAGCCTTCTCGGATAAGGGCGAAAAATTTCAGAATTCGTGTGTGCAAGTTGCACTCGTACGTTGAAGATCCCATGGTGGTCCTAAAATCAAAAATAGTAGTAAGCTTCTGCTGCCACCCAGGAAAAATAAAAAATGAATTCCTACCAAAACTGAAAATACTCTTGTCAGCTTAAAAACTTTTTAATATATATATTGAGAGAGTACCTTTGAAATCAGAATGTTTCTGAAGGCAAGGGGCACTACAAAGTAGGAATAATGGTCACATATATAAATCAGTGGCAGTGCAGGTTAAAGAACTAGCAGTCGACTATCCCTGAGATTTAGCAGGGAAGCATTTGAAGAATCAAGAAGAAGAAAGAGTGATCTCTGAATTGGTCGTGATGCATAATTTGACTCTCTATATATATATGTGTCACCACGCAGTGGAATCAGTTTTTTTGGGCATCAATTTTTGAGCACATGGAGTTATTGGTATCATCTTAAAGCTTTTTCAGTTGTCTTTCTTTTGATGAAAAAATTATCCATTTGTCTTTAATACAAGTCAATATATTTGAGATTCAAGGAGGCGGGGGTCGCTAGGTCTCAGAGATATAGATAAAATTAGCGAGAAAATGGCTGCCAAAGTTTAGTCATTTCCTTACTTTGAGAGTCCATGGTAACTGAAAATTTACATTTTTTATTCCTTTAATTGACGTTTTTCAGTACAATCCCCACAGAAATGTATTCTTTAATGGAATGAGAGGTGTTGAGCCAGAAAACAAAAGTTCTTTAAAAATTTCCAAACCTACGGAAAAATGTCAGTTTCTTCTCTTTTTTTATTTTGTCGAGCGCCTGATTTCACCACACTGCCTCACATGATGCCTCCTTTATCACTACTTCAGCTTTGCTAATCATTTTTGTTTTTAAAACCTTACAATTTATGTTTTCTTCTTGTTAGAAACAGTTTAAATTTTAATGTTCACCTTTTTTTGGTTTTAAAGGCAAAACTATTTTGAAATTTTTCACAGTGGTTCAGAGTGCTTGCCCCCCAGACAATGTTATCGAATATGTAACGGTATCGGAGGACAATTATGACAGGTGAGTAGGTACAGTCCATTAAGGGACCAGCTGCAACTTGAGGCACACTTCTTACTGTTTCTGAGCTCACAGTGTCACTCTTTGCACAATTTTTTGTTTTTTTTTGTTTGTGTTTTCTTTTGTGCAGGGTGTTCAGTCTATCTAATTTTTAGTGACCTGATACATTTGATAAAGATCATTTGACGTATTTGCAAGTGGAAGGAGAAACAAAAAGAAAAAGTTAGAGGGGTCTAATGCTGATTTTAAACAAAGAAAGGCGCTCATATGACCTTATACAGTTGCGAGTGCCGTAAAAACTCTACTAAAACAAAAAGAAAACTAGATATAACTATTATTATTTTACTCTCAAAGTTTAGACAACAGTTGATTCAAACTGAAGAAAGAAATAATTTATATTAGAGTAGAAGAATTTGACCCTTCAGTCTAACGAAATGTATTTTATCATGAGAATGGCATCCTAACTCTTTGAGCCCGCACCATTGAGCATGCAAGACCTATTCACCTGAGTACCCAAGCCTCTACAGCTATATTTTGTTCACTTTGGTCTGTCTGCATAAAAAAAAAATCCTTTTAACTCATAAATTGATCTACTTTTGCCCATGAAACATTATATTGCACTTTTGCAGGCCAGTGACCAGTCAAAAAATTTTTAAAAATATAAAAATCTTGATGCTTGTATTATTATTTATGCTTGTCTTCTACCAAGTTTGTTCTTTTTCTGCTAGAACTAAGCTTTGTTTCTTTTTTCGTTCTATTTCAGAAATTTCTCTAAGATTAGTGAAGACGGGAAACGACCTCTAGGTTTCGCCAAGTCCCGATGGTACTACAATCGTCCAGACAAGAAGAATCCTTGTATAAAAATCTCAGGAGCAACGGATAGAAGAGTAGAAATCATGGTATGCTGTTTAGCAATTGTATGTCTTGACGCGGTGGAATCAGGCGTTTATCAATTTTTGGGGCATATAGGGCTATTGGTATTATTTTAAACTTAAAGCTCGTTCATTTGTCTTGATTTTGCTGAAAATAATTCCCGTCTAATTTGAATAAAAGTCGAGACATTTGTGAGTGAAGGGCGGGGGGGGGGGGGGGGGGGTGTTGCCTAGTGTCAGAGGTAGGTAAAAGTAGCGAGAAAATGGCAGTTAAACTTTGGTGTGATTGTTGGTTGAAGCTGTATTTTTATCTACCATATTTAGTGCATGCATATATCAATTTGTAAAATAACTTGATTCAAGAGAAAATGGGTAAATGATTTACGAAATATTCACAGCAGTAAAAAGTAGTTCATATTTAACCTTTGTAAATGGTCAGAAAGAAAATTGCGTTAATATTTAATTAAAAATAATATGGTTTAATATTAACATATCCTTTTTGTGTTTCTCCAGGTGGAAGCAGAACTTAATGCAAGATTATGGTAGGTGACACCTGGCAACATAACTCCTTCTTTGTATGATTCTCTCTCATTAACACCCCTAATATTTGGGACGTAAGTTACCTATTTGTGTTGCAAGTACTGTATAACTATTAAACTAAAAGTACCTAAGTATATTTCTGTGGAAATCTGACTCTGGAAAGGCTGGTCTTATGGCCTCACGAGTGGGCAGGGTGTGGATATATTTACCGACAGGAAGACTACATTAAACTTCATAGCATAATGATGTAACTATTTCTATCAATCTCATTCAGAGTGTTGATTTGAAAGATTTACTCTCAGTACTGAATTTAAATATGTCAGGTTTCTTTTACAATGAGTCCTCAGTTTAGGTTTTAAGTCAGTGTAGGTAATTTGTTATTTATTACTTTTGCAGTTCAGCTCATGTATATGAGTAAATGATGGGTGAGATTGGTTTTGTATAAATAATGCTTGGTGTTGTCTGAGCTTCCTTGTTTTGTCATGGTTGTTATGTATGTTTCCTTGGAAGTTGAAGCTGTTTCTGAGTATGTTACAATCTGCTGACATAATAATATAGATCGTGAAGTGCATAGAGCTTGCTGTTGAGTGGGGATATGCACCGTACAAATGCTATTTATTTTTTTTTATTAACACGGAATTGTGATCCAAGTGTTCCCAGATTTAAAATATGTTGTGTGTTTTCATCCCCAGTTATAAGACGCAGACATCATCAACCTTCTGCTTTTTTGTAAGTTTGCTCAACAAATCTCCAAGTATTTTCATGTGACTCTTTTAGAGATTGCTTGTACTGTGTATTGTTTTATTTTCTTCATAATTTTATGTTTTAGGCTAAGTTGTACTGTGTTTCTTGCTTTATATTCTTCATAGTTTGATGTTTTTTCTGTGGTAGTCTGATGGTTTGGCAACTGGACTTTTTATCTATAAGGTTAAGTTCCAATCTGGGCTGAACGTTGTGTCTATGGGAAAGTCTCTTTGTATAGAAGAATACTACACAGGGTTTCCTCAAGTCAGTTAGGTGAGACTCGGCACCAGGGCTACGACTGTGGAAGATCTTGTTAATATGTTAGTCTTTGAGCATCTGTAAATAAATAGCTGTCACTGAATACTTTGCTTTACGTTCCTGAATGTTATAAGATCTTTAAGGTTGCAAATCATTTGTAAAAAAAACGACACATAAAGCCTTCTTTTTGATGGGGTATATGCACTATATAAATGCAGTCTATCCTTATTATTATTTATTGTTCTTAAAAATCTCCCCCGCGCGCTCATATGACCTTAGCAGTTGCGAGCGCCGTAAAACCCTATACTACAATACAATACAATACAAAAATCTCCCCTAATGCTGTGCTTGCAAGTAAAAGAGCCTTGCTGACTCGCTGTTCACTACTCCTGAAAAATTAATAAAACTATATAATTCATTTCTGTTTTTGGGGTGTCTTTGGGCTTCTGGACTCATAACTTTATTTGGGGGTTGAAGGCCCAGAATGGCCAGACAATGTGTCCTCGGGAAAGGCACTTTCAATGAATTTTCCTCTCATCACTGAGCTGTGAGTGAGTACTTGGCCACACATAGGAAAAGATCTTGTCAGTGTATTAGTGTTTTAGCACCTGTGAAATGGAATCTTTGCTCTGTATGCTTCCCAGGAAGTTCGGAAGGTTTCAGAATGCCATCAGGTCTGCTGGAGTAGTGATATAGGTTGCAAGGTGCACAGAACTTGCTGTTGTGCAGGAAGTTGCACCATGCAAAAGCCGTTTCTTCTTCTTCTTCTTTCTTCCTCCTCCTTTTTCTCCTCCTCCTCCTCCTCCTTTTAATTCCTTGGTTCATTTTGTTTCTAGGGGCAACAGTGGCGGTGTATACCCTCTAGAGGTGATGACGTGTACATAGAGTTTTTCTGTGATGACCAGTGTGAAGAGCATGACGTTCGCTTCTGGTACCGAATTGTGCTTGGAGTCACACCAGGTAATTGGTATATATATTATAATTGGCTATGAAAATTATTCATCTCTGATTTAGAATGAGTTTTTCTTGTTGAACGCAGGCTAATTAGGCCGAGTTATACTGCTTATTTTGGGCAATCAGAATTGTTTCTGTTGAAACGGTACATAATTATATTATCACCGAAAACCTTGTCGAGCAGCTCATTGCGTAGACCGAAGATAACAGACCAAAGACCAAAACTGCTGAAGTTTATTAAGTAATTTCAGAATCTTTTATGTAGAGCTGATCAGACTTTGATCTTCAGAGCCCGCACAGGACTCTTACCCACCAACAAGCACATAAACAGAATTAATCCCATGTGGGAACCCCATTGCAGACACTGTGACTACCACAAGGAGACCGTTGAACATCTTCTCCTTCACTGCCCAAACCTGGCAGTTCTTCGACACAGGCTCCTACACACTCCTACAGACTTACAAAGCCTGCTCTACTCTGGCGTTGACCAGATGATAAGGACATGTGGTTACTTGAGGGAGGCATTGCGCTGCCAAGAACGAAATGCTCACAGCTAAAGGGATTGTAATACAACAACAACATTATGTGTGGCGATATTACTCACTAGTGGGTGGTTCGGTAATTTGGTGGTTGATGGGGATCACCCATGTAGTGACAGGTGTTGTTTAATGCCCTGCTTGGAAAGTACACGTAGGTGGCCATTACGAAAATGTTATCCTCTTAAAGGTAACAAAAGTGGGCTCTGCCTATAAAAAGGCTGACAAACTGTTAGATGTATCGTGTGGCTAAAACAGCACCTGGACATGGATGGCTGGTGCCTCTATAAATAAATTATTGATGGTCGAGCTGTATGGTGAAAATTTTCTGGTCAAGAAGAATCCTTCTGGTGGGTTGATGGATAACAAATAGACTCACTGCTCTCATGTGAGAGATGAACACACTTCAGTGATGGAATGGCGTCATTTGTTTATGCTGTTATGTTAGTTGGGGAGGTAAAGGCGGCGTGGAAAGGAACTGGCCACTCTACCACAGTATGCCGAAGGCCCAGGAAGTTGTCTCACTAACAAGGCAATTCTGAATGTCCGGATCATATTCGGGAACACCTTAACTGTTATGTTCTTTCAGTACTAATGTAAAAAGTGTATTGTTATGTGGATTGGAAACCTGGAAACCAACAAAACAGATAGTGAACAAACTAACAGATAGTAAACAAACTACAGTCCTTTATCAACGGTTGCCTGAGGAAGATTGTGAAAATCTAGATTATTGCATGCGCCATCACCATAAAAAAATAGTATTGTGGAGAGCGAAACAGCAACCAATAGACTGGGAGATTAAAAAAAGAAGATGGCAATGGATTGGGGACTTTCTTATATGATGCCAGCTCACAGTAAGACAAGGCAAAGCCTACAATGGAATCTCCCAAGAGAGGGAGGCCAAGATCCGCTTGAGGACGCAATCTGGAGGGAGATCTCAGGCATATGGGGCACAGCTGGCTGGAGGAAGAGAATATTGCTCAGAATAGAGACGATTGAAGTGCCCTTCATGGTGGCTGGTACCCAACAAAACTAGGGTGAAAGAGACAGAGAGAGAAATATATTTTTGTGTCTTTCTTGCGTTGATGCATCGTTTCTGCCTTCATTTTCCTTCTTTCATTCTTTAATCCTTCTTTTCTTGCTCTTCCGATCCATGCTTTCCAACTTTAAAGTAACCGATTGCTTATAGCAAGGTGGTAAGCTCATATAAAAAGATTAACAAATGTGTCGCGATGCGGTGGAATTTTTGGCCTGCGAAATTATTGGTATAATCTGAAAACTGATTTATTTGCCTTGTTTCCTATGAAATAAACATCCATTTATCTTGAATAGAACTCAAGATATCTGCGACTGAAGGAAGTGAGGTCACCTGGTTTCAGTGTTGAAATTAGTGAGAACATGGCTGCCAAAGTTTGGTAACTCCAATAGCTAAAGAGTCTTTGAAAACTGAAAAATTACACATTTTTTGCTGTTAATCAATGTTTTACAGTAAAATTCACATGGAAATGTGCTTTTATATGGACATAAAAGAGGTTAGGCCAAAAAATAGAAATTCTAGAAAAATTACCAAACTGGCAGGAAAATGCCTGTTTCTCCGATTTCGTTATTTTGACGAGCGCCTGATTTCACCGTGCTGCCTCACAAATTACTGTGTGTGTGTTTAAAATGTTTTTTTCCTTCTCTTCCCATCAGCCGAGGACCCTGAAGACCACTGGTGCGAGGGTCGTAATCAGGACGAGTTTCCAGCAAACTTGTTGAGGCTGCCGGACGGTTTCAAGGTGCCCACAGAGACAACTACCCCGTTTAACCTAGCCTCTGCACCGACTGCCTCTTATAATTTGCTTGCACTGCTCAGTTTTCTTACATTTTTATGTTATAAAAGGAGGTAATGGGATTTGCTTGGCGAAAGATTTTAATTACATTTGAATACTTTTGCTATTGTTTAACCCCTTTGTGACTGCTTCCTCACACCATACATCAAACATCGTGAGCTGAGAGGCTGTAAATGAACATACATTATGCACACTAAAACGTACCATACAGGATTTTAACCGAATTTTACCAAAGAACTAATCGCGGGCAGTATTGCATACAGACGTAAGTCATTTTTGGCGGCCTTTGAGATACATCTGTATGCAATACTACCCCGCGTAATGAAAGATTCTAACTCTCTGATTACTAAAATGTACAAATCGTGTAAATCTTTAATTTTTGAATGGGACTGCTAAATGACTGAAAGTGTTCATTGTCCTTTCCAGCAAAATTGGGCTCAGTAAAAGTCAGAAAAATGTTTGTCTTGAAGGGGTTAAAATATATTTATTAAAATTTTCTTTGAAAATGTACAATGCGGAGAACACGTCTTGTTGGGATAATTTATTATACTCTATATGTGGGGCAGCGTGGTGAAATCAGGTGCTTGTCAAAATAATGAATTGAAGAAATTGGGATTTTTCTGCCAGTTTGGCAATTTTTATCAAATTTCCTTTTTTTTTGGCTGAACACCATTGCTGTCCAAGTAAGCACACATTTCTGGGTAGATTTTTCTGAAAAACGTTGATTAAAAAAGCACAAATAATGTAAGCTTACAGTTTCCACAGACTATCAAGCTATGGAAATAACCAGACTTTGGCGGCCATTTTCTTGCTAATTCTACCTTTGAAACCAGGCGACCCCACCTTCTTCAATCTCAAATATATTACAACTTCTTTTTAAGCTAAATGAGTATTTTTTTCACCGATAACAAGGAAACTGCACAAACTTTAAGACGACACCAATAACTCCACATGCCCAAAATTGACGATCGCCTTATTTCACCACATCGTGACTCCCATCGGTTTCAGAGTAGCCTACCTTTATAAATTCTTATAATATTATATGAATATGTACCCAAATATACAGGACTACCCAGGAAGTCACAGATTGTCGGTTATGAAATTTCTGCCTTGATTTATAGGATTGAGTCTTATGTGAGAGAAGGTTGTTGCTCAGTTTACTGTCAGTCCAGTAGTATTTGTTATGCTTGTCCAAGGCTAGTGGGTATACAATATGCTAAAGTATTCTACCCCCCCCCCAACACACACACACACACACACACACACACACACTCACACACACACACACACACACACACACACACTCACACACACACACACACGCGCATACACACAGTCCCATCCATCAACTCCAAGGGAAGTCACTATAACATCTAGAAATTAAGGTGGTTGTGTCCCTTCCTCTTATTGCACAGGCTCACATAAACTTTAAAACGCACTCCCAAAACCTGTGTGTGTTAAGGCAGAGACTACTTACTGCACATGGTTTACAAACACAACATGCTCTTGCCTCAGGCTTTAATAATAATAATAACAATGATATTTGCATTTGTACAGCACATAGCCATGCTCAGCAGCAAGCCCAATGTGTTTTACAGGCTTCCCAAAAAAGCACATAGTGCAAGCTGCAAATTGCACGTACTCAAACACTCACAAATTGACAAGGTCTTTCGCTGTCTATAGTCCAGTACCCATTCCCTCTTGGGTGAAGTGAGGAAAATTTGTGTAAAGTGCCTTTCTCAAGAACACAACACCGGGTGTTTGACAGAATTCGAACCCATGACCTTACGTTATGAGTCTGAGAGCCTAACCACCTGGCCACCAACGCCACACAAGAGAGAGATATTGTTGACCATTAGACTCTGAAAAGGTATTTAAATTTGTGTTTGACTGTTGTTTTTATAAGTGATTGTTTTCACTGAGGGAACTTTTAGAAGCTGGTGTTTAAAATGATAATATGTTGCTCAACATGTTTTCCTAAACAGAATTGTTTTCATTTTGACATTGAATATTATATTTTGATGACACACTGTGGAACATGAAAGATGGAGTCAAAATTTATGACGCAGTAAAAAGCATATGTATGAAGCAGTGGAATCAGACGCTCACCAATGTTTGGACTTATTAATATAATTTCAAACTTTAATTTGTTCTCTTTTAGATGAAAAAATAACCCATCTATCTTGATTAGAAATCTAAATATTTGTGATTGAAGGAGGTAGAGGTCGCCTGTTGCCAGTGGTAAAATTAGTTAGAAAATGGCCACAAAGGTTTGGGGATTTCCAAGCTTAATAAGTGTCCTTGTGAACTGCAAATTTACATTTCTTGTGCCTTTGATTGACATTTTTCGTAAAATCCACTGCAGAAATGTGTTTTTAATGGACACAAAAGGTATTGAGCCAAAAAGCAAAAAATCAGATAAAAATTGCCAAGCTGGTGAAAAAATAACGGTTTCTTTGACTTCATTATTTTGACGAACGCCTGATTTCACCTCAATGCCTCACATATTTTAATGACATACTGTGGAGTCAAAAGTTTTTGAGGCAGTAGACACATAATATATATTATTTATGTCTCCTGTTATTGGGTTTTTTTTGTGTGTGTCACGGACAAACATAATAATGTGAGGCGTGCTGACAAAATGAGTTACTTCTCGCAATCCATAAATGGAGATATTGGGTTAAAAATTGACACTTGGGTTAAATTTGTAGATTTTCTATTGATGCCATAATCTTTAAGAATATCACGTTTTTATTATTTCATACTTATAAATTGTAAAAGCTTCACCTATAAGCGTGATGTAGTGATTTCCACAGGGCTCCAATCTGAGAAGTAACTCATTTTGTCAGCACCCTTGACATATATAAATTAGAAGTTCTATCTGTATTTCATGTCTGGTACACTACATAACATAAACTTTGAAGTATTTTAAGATTTTGCTATGACGTGCTGACAATGTTATTGTAAAGATAGAATTGGGATTTCTTTTTTGTTGTTTTTTTTACCTGAGGTATTTTTTTGTATTCCTGTGTTGTTGCTTTCGTCAATTGCTCATTAACAGCAAGTTTCATGTGAACTTAGATATTTTAAAAGCGATCAAATTTTGATATTTCTCTGTTTGTATAAAAGTGATTGTCTTTGACAGGTGGCCGTCAGAGCAGGTTTGACCGTAGTTGCCTTCTTAGTCAAAAAGTTCTCAGCCACTACCTGTGAGATCTATTTCAGAACTCAGAGACAGAAAGGGGAGCTTCTCTGTAACTTTTGCCAATTCGTGACCTCAGTGCTCTCTTGTCGTATCTCCATTTTTTAAACAGCGAAAACAGGTCATAATAAAGAGTGAACTGAAGAAGAAATCACATTTTCAATGTTAAAAATATGGAGATACGACTAGTAAGCACTGAGGTCGCCAATTCTTATTCACACTGAGTCTCTTCAAAAGATGTGATTTTTACTATTTTAAAAGAAGTTTTATATACCACAAGAGCAGCTTGTACAAGTAGGTGCCTTTAAGAGTCTGTTTATATGCTTTTGCTCCTTCTACTTTATCTCTCTGTGTTTGTGTCATCAAGAGACAAGGCATGATTGATCGCGTATGATTAAGATATTTCAATGTTCTGTTGAACTGCTCACTCATCGTGCAAACACATGTTAGGTTTTGAGAAATGTGCTTAACTTTTTTGCTTAAAAGATACAATTTTTGCCCTCTGTACAAACTATTGGATTTTTGTGTGTGAAAGTTTCACATTACTGTCTTTTTACTGTTTTTATTGGTTGTTTTAGCCAGTTATTGACTTTTAGAACGTACAAAACCAAAATTATAGTTACTGGTTGGAGGATGTCAGTTGCAGGTCTAAGCTGGTTCTTCCTCCCCTGTTATGTCTGAACTTCTGTCAAACATATTTTAATTGCTAAATAACTCATCATATTTTTGTGCTTCTTAATTTTAAACCAATCAAAGTAAAGAAGTTGCATGTTGGAAACTATCTAATTGTTGATTTGATAGAAAAAACAACAACTTTGGGGAAATGATGTTATGGAATGCACCAGTTGGATTACGATGGCTTTTGGGTTTGTTCTGCAGAGGTAGAAAATGATTATTCTGTTTTTGCATACAATGGAAGCCACAAGCATAGGCTACCCTTAGCCAGCTATTGGGATACAATTTTCTTAAAGCCAGCCTTGTTCATGGCCACACAATGAAGCTATGATGTATACTGATGCTTGGCTTAGAAAAAGGGATGAATAGCAGCCTTAACATTGACAATATACATGTTTAAGGTGAAATGTGGTATTTTTTCCTTCATAATACTGCACTGATTCATTTGCTTTAACTCTTTCAGTATGATGCGTCCAATATGAGATGTACCCGCTGTTGCCAAACTACCAAACATCTAATATAAGATGCTTTTTATATTATATCATTTAGAGAGCTACAGAATAAAAATAATGTTCAGAATGAGAAAAAGAATTACGTAGTAAATGAGTTGAAAGACAATTCCAGCCCATCTCCATAATTGTATTGCTTTTTTAACATTTATTTTTGAAAAGATTATTTTTCCTTTGGAGTTTATAAACCTGTTCATATTTGTATAATACTATCAACTATTGCTAGAATCAAACTTTCGCGCAGTATGAAACCCGATGAGTGTATTTCCTCTTTTGGAAGTATCAAAAGATAGTCACAAAGACAAGCACGTTTATTTTTCTGCCCGCTTCCTTTGGAGTTGAAAAAGTGTTTTATTCTCTTGCCTTTGTTGTTTAATATTTAAAGGTGCCAGCCTTATCATTTGTGGGTGCTTAGTATTAGTATGTTCTTGGATATTGAATATTACTTTATTGCTGAACTTTCCTTTGTACAATGATATTGCAATTTACAAATGATCGTACTGCTGTTTATAAAACAACATTCCAATGAATTATTCCTCCTTTTCTCAAAGCACCATGCACATTTGCACTCACAGGCAAACACTCAGGGTGCACAAATACACACACACACACGCACTCAGGGTGCACAAATACACACACACACACACACACACACACACACACACACACACACACACACACACACACACACACACACACACACACACACACGAACACACACACAAGTTTGTACAATGTACATCCTTTATGTCTGTACAGGTCCTGATTACTACTACTCTAATAATGTGTTACTGCTGCTAGCTGGTATTAATGACATTCCAATAAATATTCCCCCCTTTTCCCCACATGATACAAAGACCCACGCATATGGTATTTATATACTCAGCTTTTGTTGAGATTTTAGATTTACATGGATTTTTTTAAGGACCCTTTTTTATGGGAGAAGTTTCAGGGAATTTTACTTTGTCTTTCCTCTCCACAGTCTGGTGAAGACATGGAAAAACACAATGAGTGATAATGGTTCCAAGTAAGATCAGGAGTAAGACAAGGATGTCAGTGTGTTAGTGTTAGTGATTTAGCGCCCATAAATTATGGCAGCTTGCACTGTATGCTTCCCAGGAAGTTGAGTTT